ATGTTAGTTTTGGGCATCCCTTTAAGTATTAACTAACTCTCTGGAAACACAACCTTACAATTCACAACTACCAATAACACCTCCAGTAAATGTAAACCGGAGTAATTTCATTCAGTACATCCTCATAACCCACTATCTATTGACATTCCATAGATACTTCATAGGCCTAGGCCAAGGATGTAGAACATGACACTGCAAAAATTCCTGTTTACCTAAATACGTACCTAGAAATGTATCTAAACCTCCACCTTCCATCAATTATATATCTTTTTCATGTCATATTTAAGAACTTCACGTAAGTTGTAACATTGGAGAGAAGTTGTTTAATTTTTCCACGAAACCACAATACAGTTAAACAAAAAATTCTTTCAATGTAACACGCACTAAAAGAAGTGATTGAACTCACCGGAAACGAACTTTGATACCTCTACAACACGAATTACGAAGAATCAACGTATTACCTATGACACTTGATTGTAGTCTGGGCGAATCTGTGTGTCTGTGGACCTTTAGAAGTAAAACGCAGGACGATAAGAAGAGTGTGATTAGCAGCCGGTATGGAATCATGTACTGCCCGCTAACAAAGCGTAGTTTAGTATCGGGTACAGTACTATAGGTTTTATATTTGTGAAGTTCCAGTCGCCTGCTGATTAACTGTTTGCCGGTATTCTCCTCTCTGCCCCGCACGGTTACATAGGTCACACCAATGTCGTTGGTTGCTCAGGACAAAAAAACGTTGGTCTTGACAATACAGACCAACGCAAGTCCGACGGTTGTGCAAGATACCGACGTATTCCAGTCGAGAGAACATTGCGATGAAATGCAATCAAGGTCTGTGTGTATGTTACTTCGACTAAATTTTCCATTATTCTTTTGTTTTCTATATATTTGTTCTATAACTGAACAATTTACAAATGACCAGCAGTCGAAAGAAGGGTAATACCATTCATTGTGGAGCTAGGGACATGGTAAAACACCCACATCGCCAGTGTTCAGTGAACTATTGTGGATTGTCTGTCTACTTCAACTGCGAAACACGATTGGGCTGTAGAGCAGAGAGAAACGAAGGAAGCCCCATCTGTTGACAAAGAGTGTAAACCAAGCAAAGTTAGCACTCAGAGCAGTTAGGAGAGTACAGGAAAAAACAGAAGTTCCAAACTAGACTTCAACCTGTACATAACATGTGAGCAGTTGGCCAGTCTTCCATGAAATCACACTTTGAATCTAACATAAGGACCAAGGTCCACAATGAGTTTGTTGCCCATTTTTATTTTTTAAAGTCTTAATGATCTTTCTTTAACTTAATAACTTTTTGTATTGTGTCTGTTACATTGCTGCTCAGCAGGTACCAACCTATGTTAAATGTTTTACATTTGTACCCAGTTTATATAGTTCATAATTATGGTCATAACTACTACTATTCAAATGTTTATTATTTAGTGGTTAACTGACCTAATTTGATTCGGTAAACATAATTAAAATTCAAATCCTTAACTTGGGACACAGCTAAAATAAGTTAAAGGACCACTGTTGTAGAGATATTCATATTACTAAATGATGAACTGTAACCATGTGATTGTCAACATGTCATTATGTGCTTTTAGGGACACAAATATTCTAAGTATGGTAACTGGAAGTGCTTGGAAACATGATGCTTATTGTAAGCCAAGGACCAAGTTTCAAACTGGCATGCCCAAGGATGTAATACTAAAGACATGTAATATTCATCAGTCATTCTATATTTACTAAGAACATATCATTCAGAGGACAATTTGCATCTAATTACATTAAACACTATGTGAGTAGAAGATGACCATCTTTTGGGTTGTTACACTGTGTAGTCTGGTAGAATTTTAAGGACTTTTTGAGGTCCTTGCTGCAAGGACCTCTGAAACGTCAGTAAACTTCTACCAGACTATGCAGTGCAAAAAACCCAGAAGACAGCCATCTTCAGACTCACCGCCATGAAAATCTCAAATCCTACCATGTGAGTAATCATTACAAGTTTTCATGTCCCATTCATACAAGATACAATACAATTTTCATAAAATAAAATAAAAAATAAAATAAAAATAACAATAAAACAAATAGGTATTCTCATTATGATCACACATTAATCATAGTGCGAAAAGGTGAGGCACAATATTGAAACTATTATAAAACATAAGAAGTGCTGTAAGAGGTTATGCATGCACTTTTTACCTGAATAAGTTCACTGATACCAAACACTATGTTTGATAAAGAAAGCAACCATTAGGATCTTCAAGACACTCTGAAATAAGATCAGGCCTGTTTTCTTTCAGATAGGGTACAGTTTACATATGTGGAATATAAAATGCCTTCTTATAAAAGAAGCCCAAGAAACATTAGAATCTACAATTTAAAGACATTTCCCTCTAAAAGTAAAATCTTGAGTAACTGACAAATGTGCTGATAAAAACATTTTTAAAAAAAAAATCACTTTTAGAATACCCAAACCATAAAACAAAATAAAAACTTTTGAAAAATGTCACAAGATACCTTCAACATAACAAACCCTCTATCTGTAACACTGGCCTCTTCCACTGCATACTTCCATATTAGTAACAAAAATTGCACTGAAAACACTACACAAAGACCACTATGATGCTGGTCTGTAGCATATAGTATAATACTTATTACACAGTATCATATGAACACATCTGGAAATTGCATCCACTCATTGTTATATAGATGAACATGAATTTCATCTAAATTTTGAATTATGAGTGAACGTTTGGTCGGCCAGACCTAGCACAACTTGCAACAGCAAACTCCCACTACAAATAATCTTTCCTGATGAGGAGCAGCAAATATATATATATGCAATGCTCGTTCATCATGTCTACATGTATATACAGCCCTTACTTGACAACACTTTTTATGTTGCTGTCACCGACAAAGTTTGTAATCCTACATTCCTCAAGTCACCTGTTTACATGTGGCATAAGAACACAAAATTATGTTACATCATGTAGCTATGGAAGTACAGAAACCATTCATCTACCATTACCATATTCCTTACTAAAGTTATATAAAATTACAAAAATATTACATTAATCACTTCCACTGGATATACACATACAAACATTTATGAATAAACTGCCTTATTAATCTTTTCATGATACATAACCTCAATTAGAAGCAGTGACCCTTCTGGCCTGGACTTATTACTTATTTCTTACAATCTGTGAAAGGAACATGGAACAGTTAAAACCATTAGTGGCGTCTCAAGTTACCACAAACATATTATTAACAGTAGGAGAAGGTAAAGGTAATGATAAGTCTGAAAAAGTCATATGTAAAATGAGGGATACTGATCACTGCTTCTTTTGAGCCCTTAGAACACTCTGATTATATCAAAATACATAACACATCCATCAACAGCAGTTGAAAGATTTCACCATTCAGTAATGATTTGTCCAAATTTACTAACATATTTCAAGCAATACTTAGGTCAGGTTACGATCTCCCACATGATGTAATCTAAGAAACTCCAAAACCATACTTATGTTCATTACTAGAAATTTAGTATGAAATACTCCTAATGACAACTGTGAACTCCACAGCTGAAATAAGATGCAAAACTGTGCAAAAGCAACAAATCATTTCAATAGACGTTCTGTTGTAGCATCTCAATTTAACAATTCCTAACCATACTGGCATTGATGTATCAAGTCTCTGGTCTGATGGAAAAAAAATTCAGCTGCCAGCTGTTCATTTGAACTCCAAACATGGATCCATGGAGTAGCAAACTTATAGCAGTGACAGTACATTCCAATAGACTAAGCAGCAGAAAAAATTTAGTGATTCACTGGCAAAACAGCATAACTGATAACATGTGACTGTAAGCCAGTGCCATTTCAAGGCGCGCACAGTGTTAAGTGCTGATTGAAGGAAACATCAAATTTTGACCCCGCATACCTGGTTGGTAGCTGCACTAATGTCTGAAAGTGTCAAAACCAGCAAACCACATTCTACAACTTCAGGTATTGCTTTTGCATGTCACTGCTGCATTCCCAAGGTTCAACTCTTCACTTGATCTACTTTAAAGGAAAGCACACCTCTGACAAAACAGTAATTTTTATTGTTTTAAATAACTGTCTACTGAATTCACTAAACACGACCTGCTGTTTTGTATTGTTTCTGTGAAAACTCATTAATAGCTGTTACACTTTTCGCTTTAGTACAAAACCATTTCAAAATCTGTTACTTTATCCTCCACTTATTATTTCTCAGTATGAACATGTTGCACTGATTATCTCCATGCTAATGGAGGCAATATTGTCTGAAATGTCAGTAATATTTACCAGGCTATACTGTATAACATTCCAGACGACAGCCATACTTAAATTTATAGAAAACTGTTTTTTAATAAGCCTTTTTTCCATATTAATTAGTGCATTACCCAAATGTCAATCTATGAATGAACTACTGGCAGCAATTTATACTTCATGATACCCTGCAGAGCAAGCTACAGAACATTACATATTGTACCTCATTACTGAATACATTACATTAACATTCATCAAATGAGAATAGTGAATCTAAACTCCCATCTTAATGGGATTCCTAATTGGATTTTAGCTTCAGGGTTAATGGCGTAGCAGTATGCTAGTGTGGCACGTGGCCAGCCGAATCACGTGCAAGCTGCATCGCATAACCAACAACAGTTAATAGCAAAATTGTTGGACATCACAACTTTATTTATTACCATTTTGTTTAAATATGTAGCAAAATTAATATATAAAGAAGCGTAATGCTTTTTAATTGTATAAACTTGAATATATTATATTAAAGAACAATCTCTCAATTTAATGTCTGCGGATTATATCAACAACTGTCTGTATTTATATCTGTGAAACGAGGATAATAGGATGAAAGCCGCGTAATGAATAAGCCTACAGATACAGCTGTTATGAGAGTCATGCAGAAAGCCAGTGTGCCACATCCATTTTACACCTTTGGCTCACAAAGTTTCTTTTTTTTAATATTTATGGTATAGAAATAGCTTTTACTTTAAAGCGAACCTTAACCCTACATAACATGCATGCTGAACTTTTACTCTATAACAGTATAAACCTGAGTTTTGAATTTGTGAATAATCCTGTTTCACTTGTCAGTGCCACAGCAGGTAACAGAACGTGAGCTGTGCTTCATTAGCCTACTGCATTTTCTATTACTCAAATTTCATAAACATTTAGTAACAGGAAAGTGTCATAACCTCACTTTTATCTTAAAAAATACCAAATAATTTATTGTTACTGGCTGTCACAAAATAGACATATAAAGAAAGCTTGTGTTAGAAATTAATCTGTTGTGGCTCAAATATTAAAGTACAAATTGATATGGAAATGTCTGGTTTTGGTTAGGTCAACATTATGCAGCACATCTCATGTTTTATTATGTTACAGCATATTCGCAAGTGTTACGACCCTGCAATTCACCTTCTTACAGAGTCACAGCAGGAAACGCACTTCAACTGAAGAACACTTACGTTTTCACAAACACTTGCAGGATGCTGTGTTGTCATAATCATAAAAAGAATAGGAACATTCAGAACTGTCATTAATTAATCAAAGTGGAATTTAACTAACTGAGGTTCAGTTTCAGGAAACTTTATCTTCAGTGTTTCCTCCAAAATAAAATAATCATGCAATTTTGCTCACTTGCAGTAGAAACTGATGTGTCTCTTTAAATTCAAAATTTCTACCACTCGATCATTAAATACATTATGTTGAACGACAAATTTCATTCTTCCTGCTAGGACAATGATAAAAACATCTGCGAATCAGGCCAGCTCTATACCACTACCAAAAAATTCTGCTATGAAATAAGCAGTTATTTATTGCTGATTTACTCTGTACAACAATGTTATGCAGCTATTTTCATGAATTATACAAAAAACTTAAAAGTAACAAAATTTAATGTCACCAAGCATCGTTGTCATGAGATTTCTCTTTTTCTGCACTTCAGAAATACTCATTACTTGCATATTCTTGGGTCAAATGGCTGAAGTTTCTTAGACTTGTATATTTTAGAATATACTACAAAATTTAAAAACAGATTGTGGCAAAAAATAATTCATCTTTTAACGTATAACTTGCCTAAGTTTGAAATATTTAGTTCACATTGGAGTTTTATTAAGTAAACTTATGTGTAATTTTGTATATATATATATATTCAGCATGTATTCTGGAAAAAAAAATGGCAATAGTAGAATATTAATAAGACAGATTTCTTCAAATTTTTTCAACATCTCTTCCCAATTTCATATTCAGTTATGGGTTTTGAGGTAATATTCTAAGCGTAATCTAGTGTATTCCCATAATCTAATAAGAGACATGCGCACTGCTTCACTAAATTCCAATTGTGCATCAAAAACCACCATTATTTCACATCTATATAAAAGAGATCACAGGATGTTTTCTTGTCAAAAAGTGAAATCTTATATTAATGAGATGATGCAATTCGTATCCATTGAGATCTATCAGATATCGTTTTATGCATGTATGTCTTCAAATAACGTTTATATATATTTTTGGCGACTACAGTTCTTAAAATTATTACACTGATGAACACATTTAAACAGATGACACTCAATTAAGCACTACACTTTCTAGAATCTATATGCCAAATTAAATCATCTGCAACTTTAAAATTTATGACACGATGTATTGTCCAAGTATTCATATTCTGATCCAAAGTCTTTTAACTAAAACAAAACTCATATTTTATTCAACTAAGCAAAATATTTTTCATTCCATTGATCTACACCACAACACAAAACACATAGCAACCCACTAGGTTATGGAATTTATCAATGAAATGTCATGTGAGTCATCAAATTTATTTGCATGATAAGAATTCGTAACTTGGACACAATCAATAATAAACACGTAATATCCAACTGCCAATTTTTATAAACCTAAGCGCTTGAGATTGCTGCGAAGTGCCAAACGACTCTTACTGTCTCCATTCCAGGACTTTGACTTTGAGCGGAAATGTCGCAGGTCAGTCTCGTGATCAGGGTCAAGCATGGGTCGATACGCACAAGGCTCACACTTGTCACCGTGCCTTTCAAAGAATGTCTTGTAACCACCGTGCAGCAGATATAACTCTGGGTAGTTAAGTGTTGGGTAGGATTCTTTGTTTCGGTCCCGGTCCGAGTTACGTAAAAATCGGAACCTGCAGAGAAAATTGAATTACGTTCATCATGAAATAAGACTTGCATATAAGAGAACCTGTATATAAAGCACAAAATCATGGATTCCTGCGACACACAGCCTACTTTTAAATATCATTTAACTTTCATGTAGAAATTTAAACATAGCAATCACCTTGACACACAAATTTAAATTTAGTTACTCTAGCCGCATTACAGAATCAAATTACTATGTTTCATAATCATTGTTTCAGCTTCCATACACTGTGGGAGGAATTCAATTAACAAATCACAATAAATATAAGTCCCTTACACCTGTGACCACGAACACATGGGTATGGCTGCAGGTCTGACTCTTACAACTTCAAAATATCTCAGAGTTTCTTTCTTTCCACATAATTAGACTGCTATATAAATGCACAATTTTCACTGCCTTTTTGCTATTCTGAACTTCAAACCATGAAAAGGAATTTCTTTTTTTATTATGAGTGTGAAAACATTTAAAATGTTTTTTGATGCAGTTATAAACAAGAAATTATTTCTTTGATATAATCAGACAATAAATTAATATGAAACATAAAATAAACAAAACATAAATTAAGGTTTACTGGGTCTGTCCATAAATATTATTGAAACTCTCAAAAAGTGCATCATGGCAGAACAGAACTTTTAAAAAATGTATTTACTTCAATAATTATCAGAAAATTATTATATGATAATTATACTGAACTGTTCTTGGTTAATAAAATTAATCTAGCCAGTAAAAAAAACTTTGGTTTACGTGCCATGCCGCGTAGAATGTTTTCTCGCATAACGCATACATACATTACAATAAAACATGTTGTACGGACCATTCGATGTTTAATACATGGTTTTAATGCTTTAAAATGGATGCTAACGTATATGATACATATCATAAAAGCTCGGGAATGCAAGATGCACACAACGAACGAAACAACGAAAGATCAAACCTAATGTATTATACAAATGTGTTGTGAATGACACTTTTTAAAATGTTTCTGTTTTGTTTATTGTTCAATATACACAGAAATTGAAACTTTAAGTACAATTGAGTACTTACAAACTGGGCCCACGCTCTGATGAGAATTCACAGTGGAAGATTAAAATGTTCCGCTTTCCACCTACAGATGTTTCATTTTCTTGTGATGAATCTCCAGTGTCTTGATTTTGTGCTGGTTGTTTGATGTCTACAAATTCTTTAAATATTTGTTCTTTGGTAAATATGTTTTTTGCCCCTTTGATGTGGCCTCCATCATATTCATATGGATACCTGAAATAAATTAAAAATTAATATATAATTTATACTCATTGTAATGATTATGATCATCAAAACTGACTGTGCAGATATAAATTATTTTTATGGTATTTTCCCAAGTATGACACCTTACCGCCTAAAAAAATGATACTTAAAATCTAGTTAAGTGGTCAGCACCTCACCCCCACTGTGCTTTACCCCTGGATAAAGGAGCCCCAGTACCCATTGGATAGGAGGCCGAGTGGTTCCCAGAGCCGGTCTGGATACAGAGACTAGAAAAAAAAATTCTTTGCTCCTGCCAGAGATTGAACCCTGGTCAGACACTATACATGCTCAAGTAGGAGAGTGGAAATAATTATAAGCGTACTGTAACATACACTGACATGCGAGTGCACCCACCAGCACAAACTCGGTGGTAATACTGTGTTCAGAGTGAAAACAGTTTCGTGTATCAGTAATATTGATTTAGCAAAAATAACATTATATTTTCTTATAAAATGAGGAGAGACAGACAGGCTACAAACCATATTCTTAGAAAAAGTATGAAATGAATTCACGAAGTCCAGAAAATCCTTACCGGCAGTCAACGATTGTGTAGGCTTCCACTTCTTCATTGAAATTTCCATTCAAAAGAGATGCTAAGGTATCTGCTGATATAGTTTTGAGATCTTGATGTCGACCTTCCATCAACGGTAAAATAAATGGCCTGCTAAAATCTCCTATTAGGTCTGGAATCTGAGTAGCTGTCAAGAGAATAAGAGAATTTTCATTTCTAAATTACAGGTACAGAGCATTCTATTATAGGAATGACAATGAAGAGAAGATACAAATAAGTACAAATGGGTAAACTATAAATAACTTTACACTATTCTGCTTATAACAAAGAATCTTCAACGCTGTGAGAAAATGCGACCTTCAGCAATAATTATATACCGTACTACACGATGCTGCAAAAGTCATGAACTTTGTGAAAGCTTGCACTTTGAAATGTTGCCTATTTGCTGGATTGTGTTAAAAAAAAAATGCAGGCAGACCACAAATCATTAGGTGGTTATCAAGAGGTAAAGATTTTAACTTTACACCCCTTGGATATGATGTGGCTTGTAAAATTTGAGGTTTTCACAGTGGCGAGTATGAAGATTTCTGTCTTCTGGATTGTTGCGCTGTGTAGTCTGGTCGATGTTTACCAACGTTTCTGAGGGCATACTGCCTCCGTCATCAGGGCGATGAGTATGAAGACTTCTGTCTTCTGGGTTGTTGCGCTGTGTAGTCTGGTCGATGTTTACCAACGTTTCTGAGGGCATACTGCCTCCGTCATCAGGGCGATGAGTATGAAGACTTCTGTCTTCTGGGTTGTTGCGCTGTGTAGTCTGGTCGATGTTTACCAACGTTTCTGAGGGCATACTGCCTCCGTCATCAGGGCGATGAGTATGAAGACTTCTGTCTTCTGGGTTGTTGCGCTGTGTAGTCTGGTCGATGTTTACCAACGTTTCTGAGGGCATACTGCCTCCGTCATCAGGGCGATGAAACGTTGGTAAACATCGACCAGACTACACAGCGCAACAACCCAGAAGACAGAAAGCTTCATGATGTGGCTTGTTCTTCTATAAAACTTATCAGAAATATCTAATGAGTTCAACAAACTAAACACCTCTCTTCAAGGTCAAAATGCAACTATTTTCCAAGCATTTTGACAATGTTTCGCGATTAATCAAAAGGCAACACTTTAGAAAATTCTTCATGATAGTGAAATCACAAATGTCTGTCAAAATCAGTCTCTCCTAGAAAATTATAATGAATTTGAAGAAATTCCTCTAGTTCTGGCTGACCTCACTAATCTTGGGTGAAATTTTTTAAGAGTCGTGTTTCAGACCAAACTCTTTCTCCGCATGAATGGATCCAAAAGCAATATGCAGTTAGCGAGAAGACAAGCCACCTCTCTACAAAATCCCAGAAATCCCTGATAAATGTTGCCTGCAATATCTTTTAAAATTAAATATGAAGCTCTGCCTCTTCCTGATTTTTTGGATTTATAACCAGAATGAACATGTAGAACTCTCATTACTAGCCACTTATGTATTACTATACCCCACAGAACACACCTGTGTAAAAAAATTCAGCAACAGTAATTAAATCAAAAGACTGTGACTGCCTTCAGCTTGACGGTGCCTTAAAAGTTACTATATCAATGATCCACCCTAGAATAAATCACCTACACTCAAATATGCAGGTCCATCCTTCTCACTAAAAAAGTATATTTTTAATGTAAAACAATATACAGCATGCAAAATATTTTCTGCATCTCAATGGTGATGCCAGGAAAAAGTTTGGGAACGACTGCTCTACTTCGTAAAACAGTAGTTCCAAGTTTATGTGCAAGGGAGCACTGAATGCAGTATCCTGAATCACAAGTTGAGCTATACAGGCATACCTCATTTTATTGCGCTTCGCATATATTGCGTTTTTTTTTACAAATTGAAGGTTTGTGGAAACCCTGCATCAAGCAAGTCTATCAGCGCCATTTTTCCAACAGTACGTGCTACTTTGTGTCTCTGCGTCACATTTTCGTAATGTTTTTTTTAGACATAATGCTATTGGACACTTAATAGACTACAGCAGTGGCCCTCAACGCGGCGCCCACCAAGGCTTTTTTTGGGTGCCCGCGTTGTTACGGAAAGAGGTTATACTGAATAATGAAGGCCGTTCAACCACGAACATTATAAAATCAAAGCGCAGATCTCGACTTACTGACGTCCATCTTGACGATTGTTTGCGAGCAGCAACATCATCCTACAGTCCCAAATTTGAAAAACTGGCCGATGAAATGCAGTGCCAAACATCACACTAACTTCCCACTTGAGTAATAATAATTCTACTTATAAAACTACGTATTTTTAATTGTATGGTTTCTTATATCAATAAACGTCGTGTTGTTTTGCGTATTATTTGGTGTCCATATCTTATTTGTCCAGAGAAAAGAAAAGTTGGCTTTGTTAATTGGTTGGTGCCCGCCACGATCTCATAAACTCTCAAATGTGCCCGTAGGCACAAAAAGGTTGGGGACCACTCGACTACAGTATATTGCAAACATAACTTTTATATGCACTGGGAAACAAAAACAATTTGTGTGGCTGTTTTATTGCGGTGGTCTGGAATTGAACTCGCAATATCTCCGAGGTATGCCTGTATTAAAAAAAAATGTGTCGACTGCAGACACTCACATCTTAGCAGAGCCTTTTTAATGGTGGCTTCTGTTTCAGAGAAGCTTCGCTGGAGGTTGGGTGAGCTGGAAGTCAAAACATTCTCTCGGATAACATGTAATGAACTTGATTTCCGCCGTTTTGATTGAAGATGTCCGATATCGCATGGTGGGTCAGGACGCTTAAAGGCACGTAAAGTCTCCAGTTCAATCGGCCCGCTGGCATCCTCTTGTACGTGAGCATGCGCCGAAGCCGAAGGCTTGAACAAGCAATGACGCGCCTATATGGAAATGACAAAGAAATTCTTTAACACTACTTATTTTACGTTAGAAACTGAAACTTTCTTAAAATAATTTGTTTTTAAATATTAGACTGACTGGTTCCATATTCGTCTTCATACCAAGGCAAGCAAAGACCAGGACACGTGTACAGATCACATCTGGGGAAACGTTTAATCTAAAAAAATTAATGCTATTAACTTTCCATGATTCAGTTTTTAACAAGAGTTAAAATCATCACACACGATGCATTAAAATAGTGAACACAGAGGATTCTAGAATAAAGACATGCAGATAAAAGAATTACCCTGCTTGATGCTGGTGTAAGATTGTCCACTAGTGAAAGACTGCGTTGAAGGTTTGATCTCGGAATCTCTTCTTTTGGAGAACGTGACAGATTCGCGATTGTGTGGTGATCTCTGATGATAGGGCCTGAAAGGAGACTAGTGATTCCTGTAGGCAGATATGCAGTTTCTTCCTGAAATGCAAAGATTCACAACTTATTAAGAAATTCTCATGTTTTGTTTCTCACAAATACCTCTCTATTAGGACTGATAGGAAATTATTAGAAACTCTGCGTGGTGAATAAAAATTATGCACGACTAGGGCGTCCCAAGCCAGATTGGTCGAGGGGGAGAGGTCAGATTAAGACAGGTACCCTGGTCCTCCAGGTTGGGGGTTGGTCGCAAGGCTAACAACCTTGCGCCGTAAAAAGGAAGACGTTTCGAGACCTCGATCGAAGCCTGAAGTATCCGGACCTATTTTAACACTTTTGCTTAGGGACGCGTTGAGCAACGTTGAGGAGGCCATGGATCGGAGAGCCATAGAAGAAGAAGAAGTATCCAATGCATATTTATTTCATTAAACATTCAAGGTAGGAACCCAGGTCCTGTCACTCATACCAGACACCAGTAAGTGGGAATGCAGGGAACTGCATTTATATTGTTCCAATACTTCTTAAATGCAAATTTAGAATTGGGTTAACACATAATTTTAATCGTTTCTATACTGTGGACCTAAGCCTAAACTGAACAAGGAAACCTAAAAGACAGAGCAAGAATAAGTACAGACTGATTAAAGAACATTTTCTGCCTTCAAAGATGGTAAACCTGCATTCCTATAGTTATCTTATTTAAAAAATATCTGAGGAAACTTATGGATACCCTCATCATACGCAAGAACGTGGCTTACCATTTTCTCAAGATCGAGAAGTTCTGTGAAACCATCGTCGACAGACTCACTTCCAGAAGACAGACTGCGAAAGAGAGGCGAGTTCGACTGACCACTGATTTTTTTTCGAGGAGAACAGATGGGAGAAATTTCCTTCTTTGGCGACTGTTCTGAAAGATGTCTCCTGGGAGCCAGACCATTTGGTTCCACAAACCGAAACCCAGACTTTGCTTCATCTTTATCCAAGAAAGCTCCATAGCCACTGTCTTGAGAGTTGGGGTCTTGGTCTTCCAGCGGCTGCCGTTGTCGCAGAGGACTCACAGTTTGCTTTAAAACTGCAAACTAAAGAACAAGCAAACTAATTAGAACTATGGCAGCAGAACCTAAAGGTTCAACACCACCCTAAAATTGATCTTAATATTATCTTCCCACCCCCTGCTTTGTCTTCAAAGTGTTCATTTTCCAAGAGGTTTTTCCGCCAGAATTCTGGACGCATTACTTGTCCCCCCGTGTCGTACCTAAATTCCAAGTCCATCCTTTAGTTCACTATCCAAATAATATGACGAGACCTGTACAAACCACAAAGTTCCTCAGTATACAATATCCTAAACAGCTTACTTATTAGCAAGGCTGTGGAGTCAGAAGCAATTTTAGGTGGAGTCGGAGTCGGTACATTTTTACTGTCGATATAAAATCTTAAGAAAATACCATTTTAACACTTTTGCTGCAGTATGAGCCACCAGTGGCCTCACGCTTAGGGAGATTCAACGACGCGTTGAGCAACGTGTTGTGGGAATAACGCTTTGTAGCTTAGGCTCCGGTACCTTAAGAACACAAACTGTCTACAAATCAACCGATTTCTGCAATAACCATTAGACGTATATTTAAATATAGGTTATAAGTCTAAAAAGGTAGCCTGATGATTAACGTAGTGGTGATGAAATCTCTTGTGGTGTCATTTACCAATTTAGTAGGTTTACCATTATTAATATATATTGAGCTTTTATGAAGGAGTCGGAGTCAGAGGTTTTAGTACCGACTCCACATCCCTGCTTATTAGGGCTTGAAATTTATTCTCCTGCAAAATAAGAAATAATTTTTCACACCTATACAAACCTCTTGACAAAAGAATTGTTTTGTATATCCTGATCTTAGGCAATTTGGAAAGTGAGATAGTTATCAAGATGAATAATAAGAAGCAATCACAGAGTTTATTTTCCTCCTCATTTCACCATTTACCTCTTCCATTCTTAGGTACGGACCCCTTAAAACTGGAAGTAATTATCCTGCAATACACAAGATCTGCTATTTACAGAGTACAATGAGCGTAGGCAGGGTATGAATGTACATGCAAACATGAGATCTGTCTCGATGGTCAGCAGAAGAACTGTAATTAGAAACACATTTATTCAGTTTGTAACAGATCTGACTAAACCTCCTTTAGTTACTTCTGAACAGCCTTATTTGTTTAAAATGAATGTAAAAGGATATTGTTTATAATTTTCCAAGGACAAGCAATAATTTCCAAATGAAGCTACCAAGTTTCAGAAACTGCTAGTAATTCGTGTTTAATTCCTAGAAGGACAGAAACTTTTTGTCTTTAGCGTTGCATTCAGTCTTTGGGACCTGCCCAGCTTCCAATTCAATGAGTATTACGGACTCCTTCCTCTAGGGTTGATAGCTAGAAATTTTCTGTGTCAAAGAAAACGTCCTTAGTTGCCCATCCACGTACGAGTCAAGCTCGCCGAGCCAGACTCGTACGTGGATTGGCCGCTTTACGGCGTATAAATTCAAAGTACTATTAGCCTGTTTCTGTTGGAAAAGTTCTTATTCTCACCTTAGAAGGACTCGTGATCTGTTTGGGTGGGCTGCTGCTGCTGCTATGTTGTGAAAATGGAAGAG